AACAAGTATATTCAAATTAAATATCTAAAGTACTATTATAAAAATACTACTATAAAAAGTATAAAGTATTTATTTTAAACGCATTCTCAAATATATATAAAATGTATTTATTATTATTTTGACTTCTGCTCTGAAATAGTTAATAATTTATATTTTGTTTAATTATTTTTCTTCTTTCAAGAATTTGTTCATCAAAGAATTTAATGAATATACATTTTATTATCTTACATTTTCTGTTTAGCTAAATGTAATTTTAGTTTCAGTTCGCAGAATTCCAATTTAGTTCACATAATCCCACGGCGATTAGGCAATATTTGCTCTGTCTGGGAAGTTGCGCACCATGAGAATTTAACGAATAATAAACGAATATGATTTGTATTTGCTAAGCATTCACACGGCTCACATTGTTGGCAAACAACACAAGTTTGGGTAAACAGTTCTTTACAATTCTGTTTGCCCAATCTAATGGCCACCATTCACTTCAAAGCCGTCAATAGAATCTAATGTTCGTACTCGCTTTATGCCCGTGTGTGCGCGTGTGTGTGATTGTTTGTACACACACCTTTCTACTGGTTACACCCTGGCCATAATTGGCTGCCAAAGTGGGGCCACCAAAGTAACCGAAACGTGCTGCCAAGTTTTCATAAAGTTTTATCATCTACGAGCTACCTGCTGTCTCTTACCTGTACCGGGGGACCTACTTTATATGCGTCATGGGCGACTGTTATACCCTTGGAGAGAATGTTGTCACCTAATGTGTAACAGTTAGTTGAAGACCGATCGGAGCCTGTAAAATCTTCCGCTGGATGCGAGTTAGTTAGTCCATGTTTGCATTTTGATATCTCTTCGATTTGCTTACAATCGAAAAATATCGATTCTAAAGCATACTGAAGGGATATAAGAGCTGGTTATATTATATATAAACACAGATCTCTTCCAAAATATTGAAAAATAAAACAAATTTCAAGATGTATAAGTCTCTTCTGGTTGATGTAAAAGTTTGAATTGATATTATTTCTAAGCTAATGAAGGGTATCGCCTAGTCGAATACTTAAAAACAGCACTCTTATTTACTTTCAATTTATAAATAAATTGGAGAAACAAAAAAGCTGCCTCGTTACGTATAGGCCGCAGTTCCTGGCATTGCGTGCCTCTTGTCTTTTGGTCAAGTTGTTGTGCGTGCCATCATTATTATGAATGTTATTAAGTATTACTGTAATGGCAAGTTTTTCTGCTATTATTATTATTATTATTATTATTGTTGTTCGGCTCATATTTCAATAACTTCTCCCTTAGTCGCTCGGCCCCTTCGGAATTACGTTTCTGTGGCAGAAACGACCTTGCCATAGGCGCTCATCCCCGGCCTTAGAGTCTTAGTCGACCGGCTGGGCGACTGGCCTCAATGCATCAATGCCGCCTCGTCTCGCACGCGTTGGCAACCCTGAAATGTGCTCGCAGGCTCGCAGATTGTCCTTGACGCCCGGCAAGTCTTTTGTTTCGTGGCATTGAGTGCCGCTTGGGCCACGATTGCAACTATTTCAAGATCTCGCAAATACACAATGCGAGTGCTCAAGCCGAGACTGAGGCTGGAAGATACCCTGTAATCACCATACAGCTCTGTCAAGCCTCACACCAAGGAAAATAAGTTATTTGATAACTGCAGAATTAAACTCAAATAAGCAGTACTTACAGATGATATTCAAATGTGGCGGCATACAAAAAAGAAGATTGTTCCTTGAGGGGGAAGGTAGCCAAAAAGTAAAGAAGAGTATAATATGGTTCATCAATCTGTATTATTAAATAAGCCTTTCCTCTATCCAAGTTCAATTAGAGGGTATAGTTTGCGCATACTGTTGCATACTTTTCGCGCTGTCTCGGTTGCAGTCTCAGTAGCTTATTGTGTGCATACATATCAATATATATCGCTTTCTGGTCCATCAGCAGCTGGCCTTATATATTGGTTGTCCCCAACTGCAATTTGCATGCTGATTGCTTTTGCTCTTGCTTTTGGTTTCGCCTTTGCACTTGTCTATGCCGAAGGGATATGCAATAACTTTGATCCTGCAAGAGCAGCACATAAAACTTTTACCAAGTGCCAAAACCCTCGAAGCAGACAAGTTGCCAACTAAATTGCTTTTGACCCCCGCCCTCTTGCAGGCCCCGAATCCCGCCCGACCAAGAATGGCCACGCGCTAAAAGCTTACAAATGTTGTGCAATTTGTTAGCCGTAAAGCTGGCCAAGCATTGAATAACAACAAGTGCCAAGTTCATAGAATTGGATTACGACCTACGTTTGCAGCTAGGAGCAGGCAGGAGTGGGGTTGTAGTGGAGTTGTTTCCTAGGTTTCTCTATGTAACTGCTTACAGAAGACTTACATTGCCGTCTTATGTTGAGTGCGTTGCGTAAAACAAACCACAATGCACATCATCAGCAGCCTTGCCTTTGAAATGTTGCATAAATCCCAACTGTTAAGTAAGTGTTGTCCGGCACAAGGTACAGGTAGCTATTTTTATAAAAAGTTATCTAATGAGCTTCAAACTATTCTTGAATGGTCAATTGAATAACTATGGCATGCATTGTTCACTCGCTAAACGATCTACCCCTTTTGTTCTTTTGTCAAATACAAGTAACATCCCTTTCTTTGATATCAATCCAAATTGTACTGTTATTGTTCCCTGCTTCAATAACGACTTCCTTCTACTCCCAATTATACTACTCCCTATTCTACCACGACATCTATTACTAATTCTACTACGACTTCTACTACCACATCTACTAATTCTACCACATCATAAGTTCGGCTTCTATTACCACTAGTACATCAACTCCCTTTTTTTGGAACCCTACTACCACAACTAATAACGTTTACAACTACTACTGCTACTTTTACTATTACTACTACTACTGCTACTACTTCTACTACTACTGCTACTTGTAATACTACTACTACTACTACTGCTACTCCTACTACTGCTACTGCTTCTACTACTACTACTACTTTTACTACTGCTACTACTACTGCTACTGCTACTACTGCTACTACTTTTACTACCACTATTACTGCTACAACTACTGCTACTACTACTGCTACTGCTACTACTGCTACTACTTCTACAACTACTGCTACTACTATTACTACTACTCCTATTACTACTGCTACTATTAATTCTATTACCAACCAAAATTACAAATACATCTAATGCATGCTTCATTTCGATACCTGTTTTTGTTACTTCTATTATTCATGTTAATATCATTTACTTTAATTTATTTTATTTTCCCTACTTTTATTTCTATTATTACTTCTTTTACTACTAGATCTTCTACTTTTACTACCACCACCCTACTTAAATTTCAACCTCGTACTTGTTTTACTATTACTACTTCGATTACTTCGCTATTACTCTTTCTATCTCTGATAATACTTTGTTTTTATCAAATACTCCTTATACTACTACAATTTTATCTGCTTCCACTTTCGCTCCAAACTCCATCAGATATTTATTTATACTACTTTTTCTACCTCTCACTTTATTTTCTGCTACCAATTCTAGTACTATTTTTTTTTTTTTTTCAACTCTTCTACTACTTTTGCACAATATTCAACTTTGATATTCCTAATGGAAACGTCAATGCACAGAAATCCCATTTCCTGCGGGATATGCAGCCATTAATAAACGAAAGTAGATTGAATCGAGTAATTCATGTGTTGCGCATCTTTTTTGACTACACGGGACCATTAAATCCTTTCAATTTGCTTTGCACCGTCGCACGCACACACCAAAGCAGCTTGTCCTGAAAGAGAGTACGAAGGAAACATAATCAGATTGTTGGCTGCATTGTTGTTTGCTTCAGCTTCGGCTTGGGCTTGGGCTTGGCTAATAAATTATCCGTACTTTTGGTTTCTGTTGCTGTTGATGTTTCGGTTGTTGCTTCGGTTCGCATCTTTGCCCAGGAAATACACCTCTCAACCAAGTTGCAAACCGGAGCCAAGCCCGGAGCCGAAAGCCGCCAGACTGCGACTGCCAGCAGCAGCAGCAGCAGCAGCAACAATATCAACAACAGCAACAAGGAGCAGCTGACTATAAATCACGAAAATTGTCGCAGCCCGTTGTTTGCGCTTGTTGTTGTTTGTTGTCGTTACTGTGAGATGTTGTTATTGTTGTTGCTGCGGTTGCTGCTGTTTACAGTTTGTTGGGGATTTTTCATTTTATGGCAACTGGCATTGTTGTGACAGTTGTTTGCTGCTGTTGTTGTTGCTGTTGCTTCTGGCCAACGTCCTCCGCAAATCCTGTCATGCAAATTATGTTGAGCCTTTTGTCCAAATGCAATGGCCTGGCACATATTTCTTTTATTGTGCAGCCCTCTACGCTTTATTATATTATTTATTTTTATTTACAACCGCCCTCGTTTCTTTGTTTACTTAATATGAGAAAATAAGTATAAAAATATTTACCATCACATTTGTTCAGTCCTTTTGCGTAGCAAATGAAGTGTATTTAATCAGTGCTTAAACATTTTGACAGTCTCTTATGCTGAAAAAATGTATTTAAATATATAAATGTGGTATTTATTTACTCTGCAAATAGGGAGTTTTTTTATCCGCCTTGATTTATTTATAAAAATATATTGTAAAAAATTAAATCCCGTATTCTTCGAGATTAGATCAGCCTACGAAACCTACAAATCAAGGTTATAACAGCTTATTGATGATAGTGATTCCAGATTAAAAGAAAAATGTAGGCGCACTGTGTTGCTAATAAATTCGCAAATTCCAGGCTGCTGACAATATATTCAAGACAATTCTCAAATACAACGCACAAACTTAGCAAAAGGCACAGCTGTTGCACTTCGCCCAACTTATTTGATCTCAAATATTCAATGCTCGCACCTTAGCTGAACTTTCTGCAGCATTTAATACTCATTCAATTTCGTAATTGACAAAATTAAATGATGTTGATACAATTTATGCAAATCTGTTGTTTTCTTTTATTTACAGAACTTTTGGCAGGCAGCGCAAAAGAACGCAGCAGAAGACAGGAATCAGAATCAAGCCAATTGAAACTGTAAGTGAAGCATTTTGATAAATCTACATTAAATTGTGCTGTCGGCGGTGTCAGCGACAGCACAACAGAGTCACAGTCAAAGTCCTTGTCAAATGACTTGAAGCATTTCTTGCACGAGGCAAACGGTGCGTATGATTGATATGCGAAATGAAATCGTGCCCGCGCGCCCGTTTCTGCCTGTGCAAAAGCTGTGGCTGTGCCTGTGCAATATAAATTTGACGCTATGGCGTTAAATAGCGCGTAACAAGCGACAACATTCGCCACGCCCACTGACGCCCACCCAATACCACGGCAACCAGATGGTTTCAATTGCAGTTCCTGGAAAATACACACTTCAAATCCCACACACACACACACACACACACACACAAATATTTTGCGCTCACGTTAGAGTTATTCGGACTGAGCTACGTATTGTCAGATATTTAATTAACTTATGTACTTGGGCTCTTGTCTCTATTGTTCTGGGCAACCGAAGGACATACAATCAGAGAATATATGAGAAATGTTCTACTTGAATCAAGACAAGGTCAAACTATCATATCCTGTATTTTAAGTGAATGTTTAATCCTACAATCTCTAAATACAAGGTAAAAATTAGGAGACCCTTTTTAAAAAAAAAAAAACAATTAATACCTTTCTTTCTTAATACAAGATCAAAGGAGTTAAACTAGGAAGTTCGGAATATTTATACCAAGTGTCTTAATTCTTGTAACAAGTTTGCATAGTTAATTCAAGCATTTTCAACTTTTTTAAGCAATATAAAAACTGGAATATCAAGGTTGATTCATGCTTTATAAAAAAATATTTAAAACTGAAATGTACTTACAACTTTCAACACAAAAAGTGTATACATTTTTTTTACGTACGATTGAAGCCTCTTTTTTCTGTGAGTGTAGAGTCAGCGAGCGTCATGTTGCATTCAGTTTTAATTACAACGCCTACGGACAAATGGAATACCAAACAAAAGTTCTACATTTAACTAAACACGCACAATGCGCCAAGGTTTTACACAGGCTTATCTAAGCGTCTACGGATATTGATAAGCCCACAGAGAGAAAGAGTGAGAGACAACAGGGAAAGAGAGAGAGAGAGAGAGATAGAGATATGTACAAGGACATAGAATTTGTGGTATTTGGGTTGGTTCGTGCTAAGAGAACTTGCGGTTTAATTGAAAAGCGATGCAATTGATAATCTTCGGCTGTATGAAAGCTCAAATTAGCATAAGAGACAGGCTATTGTGCAATTTTGTAATGAAAATTACGAAATTGTGCAATTGTTGAGACTAATCTAAGTCCAAGTGCAAAGAAGATTATTTTCTAAGCACCAAAAACGACAAAAGTACTGGAAATGCGGCAAGGTCAGATGCACATATTCATAACCTTGTGAAAGGTATTCAAATTTTCGCAGTATGCAATATTTCTGATGCCATAAAGTATATATTCTTGTTTATTCTGCCCGTTTACTTAGATATAATTCCCAGACAATTAAATAAAAACAAATACTCTTTAAAATATGTATAGAAAAAATTTAATTATTAAAATACTGCGTACTTTTGGTATGTGAAAATATTCTGCTTCTTTTTGCTTGTGTTCAGCCAATTTTATCAACAACAACAAATTTAAGGTATTTAGTTTAATTTAAATTACCATTAGCGTATAACTAACAACATTTGCGCTCCATTACGCAGCTTATGTTGAATATTTACCTAATTGAATGCCGCGTAACTAATTCAGTGGCGAACTATCAATTGGCTGATGAACAAGTTTGCCAAATGCAGCTGCCACAGTGTGGGAATTGCTGCAACATGCAGCACACATTACGCATACGCCCTGTTGAGCTACAGCAAACTTATAATACGGTTATGTCGCTTCAGGGAAATTGTAGCTGGCAGCTTGGGGCGAGGGGGGAAGACCTAGACTTGCGACACGTGCCAGATACTTGAATAAGTCAAGCCACCTAAAGGGTGTGTGTGTGTGTGTGTGTGTTTGAATTTCGATTGGCAAAGCGAATGAATTATGCAAGTTGCAGGCAGTCGAAAGCGTTTTATGTGCGTCTCTTTGGAATGCGGCATGTGGCATGTGGCATGTGGCATGTAGCATGTGGCTTAAATTGAATTTATGCGCAGGAAACGTTTCCATTTTGTGTTCAAAGCGACAGAGGAAGAAGACGATGACGACGACGACGGCGACTCGACTTTCAATTTATGTGCCACATTCACGACTCGAGTTGCAGCTGCATGAATTCCGCGCCTTTTTTATTCTCTGTCTCATTCGCTCAGCTCTAATTGTGAAACGCCGCTGGCGGTTTTTATATTTAATATACATATATATATAATTGTGTGTTTGGCAATGCCGTATCCCCATCTCTATAAATGCTGGCCTGGTCCTGTCAAATGGCCACGGGCTGATAAAATGGCGGCCGTGCCAACTCATTTGTCGCCCGACCGGGCAAAACGTGGCCCATTTCCGCAAATGTCTTTTTGCCAAGCCGAGCGAAACGTGAGAAATAAATTTTAAACGCAAAGACTGTCAGGCCCATAGAAATGTGCGGGGTATATGTGTGATATACCTCGTAACTGAAAGATTAGCTGGCAGGAAGACTGAAATATCTATCTGATAGAGAATGTGTACTCTGCGACATGGTAATTCATTTTCATAAATTGAAAGAAACTGAATATTAAATAATAATGCATAAAATGTAGGAATAGAAGTGGACTCGAACCAGCAATTATTGGCTTGTTAGACGTTTTGCTGCTAAGCTCCGCATGCTGCTTGAAAATTTAAAAGGTTTACGAATTAAATGAAGCCCCTTTTGAATGCATAAAAATAAAACAAATCAGCAGATATGTTCAGCGTATTGTAAATTAAAATACAGGGTATTTCTCAAGTAGCGCATTGCAATTTACCCTATTGTAACTTGTTGAATTTGCCTGAGCTGCGCTCAAGGTAAAACGTGCGAAGGACATGGACTTGGACACGGACACGGACACACGAGGCGCTGCCGACGACAACACTGCATAAAAATCCATGACAAAATGTTACAGATTGGCCAGTGCCAAGGCGTCTAGAAGCAGGGCCATGCCCGTATCCGTATCCGTAGCCGTAGCCGTAGCCGTAGCCGGAGCCTTAGCTTTAGCCGGAGCCGAACTAAGGCCGGACGGGGCTGTTAAACGAGCCCCGGGCAAAGCTCGCCAAGAGAGCTAACGAGCAAGAGAGAAGGAGATGTGTTTTGTAAAAGAGCGAGACATGAAGCCAGGCACGCCTGCATATTTAATCCTGTTGATTTTTATTTGTTTCCGTGTTGCTGCTACGGCTGCTGCTACTGCTCCTGCTACTGCTCCTGCTACTGCTACTGCTACGCCAACATGTTGTACTATTTTTATGGCTTTTTATCTGCCTGATGATTTTGCATGCTCTTTGTTCGCAAACAACAGCGCATCACATCCCCAACCGAGCCCCACACACCTCCCCCACACACACTGCGGATAGATGGTAAAGTTTTACATATTTCGCTGCGCTGCGAAGGACGTCCTGTTAGCTACCTGATTACTATATAGTGAAAGCTCTCTTGAGCGTTAGTCGATTGAGATGTCGAAGAGATTTCAAAAGTACGGGCAAAAAACGACAAATTTCATTCGTCGTTAACAAATAATAATGCTTTTTCACATTTCATTCAAAATAAATATTTATAAAATATATAATAAGTTGTTTAATGATTTTCTATTTCTCAAACAGTCGATTGTATCGAGCTGTTCTGTTACAATTTTATTTAAAATTTGTATTTTCTTTCAAGTGAATGGATAATCCTTGTAAGGTCTAAAAAAATTAGCCTCCTGCAATATTTATTTGCCCAAGGAAGCTGTCCGTTAGTTGAACTTTCACTGTACATATATCTTTTTACGGGCTCCTGTTGCCAGTGCCAATAATCCTGGGCATTCTCACGCCTCTCCAGTGTCATCTAGAACATCTAAATAGGTTGCACAGCTGCTTACCATGTTTTTTGGCTATTTTATTTAGAGAGAATAGAGGAGAACGAAAGAGAGAGACTGTTTGAAAAAAAAGGTAGCAACTGTGACAAGGCTGACATTTACTCAGGCTGCATTGCATCTGCCCTATGCCTTGGTTGGCTTGAAGGTCGCTGGAAGATGGTCATTGTAAATTTATATGATTTTCCAAATAGACCAAATAGGCGACAGGCGACATTTACAATTAGAGAGCACTTAACGATAACAACTACGATTTTTATAAATAAACCAAGTTGAGAGCTTGAGATTGGATATATGTTCAAGAACAAGAGAAGCGTTGGTAAATTAAAAATATAGAAGCTAGCAAAAACAGATTTATAATTTATAAATAATTTATAAAAAAAAAAGAACGCGTTACATGTTTACAATTTTGTAAGCACATAATTCTTGTATTAACTGGAATATGGCTTATTTAAGTTATTAACTATGTCGTTTCAATAACTTCATATTTTTTTACAAGCAATAATATAATAATATACATGACGTGACAATCACTACGTGACGCATTTTACATTGTTAATTAACTCGAGACGCGATTTATTTTTTATTATGATAGTATTCATTTTATTTATAATAAAGTACAAAGCCCAAGGTGTATTTAATCGTTAAAGAGTTAAACGAAAATATAACTTGGATTCTTACAGTAAAGTGCGTAGCAGTGCATAAATGCTGTATATATACATATGAACATAATAAAAAATGTATAATGCGAGTAACTTTATAAGCTTAGAGAAATAGTTGGCTCACATTATTTTTTGGCAGCATTTACACAATGCAAAAATTGCGAGAATGCAAATCATTGCGAGTGAATAAAATATATCAAGTGAACAGATTTATTCTGGGATGACATCAGAACGCACCGTGCTCGGAGTGCTTGTTAAGCTGCGCAAGGTCGAGTTGAAATAAATACAAATAAATAAAACTGGCAACATTCACACAATTTTAATTTCAATGCCGACATAAAGCAGAGCTG